ATATATGGAAGATGCTTGGGTGAGCCTACTAGCTCACAGAATAGTATAAGCCCAATGGCCCAGATTGAATCTGGGCCGATCTGACCGCCGAGAGTATTTGAATTTTAATTTTTTTTTCCACAAATCCAAATCACTTGAAATTTTAGGTGAATATTCTTCTCATCAAGCCGCACCTAATAAAAATATAAAAAAATAATCCGCAAAAGTAAAAATGACAAAAATACCCTTAAAACTTTACGAGGATATTTTGGTATTTTTTTCATGTAAAATATTTTTTTAATATTTTTCGAATATTCACCTATTTTTTATCAACACACTTCTAAAATTTCAAGTGATTTGGATTTGTAGAAAAAAAAATTAAAATTCAAACACTATTGGGCATCCGTGTTCGTTAGATCAGCCCAAATTCAATCTGGGCCATTGGGCTTATTTTTTCTTGTGAGCCCATTGGCTCACACACACACATACACACACATACACACACACACACACACAGAGTACAAGGAGGTCGCAATCATTCTTGTCCCTTGGATTTTAAAATGGGTGGTTGTAAGAGTGTCATTGAAAAGACACACACACAGAGTGCAAGGAGGTCGCAATCATTCTTGTCCCTTGGATTTTAAAATGGGTGGTTGTAAAAGTGTCATTGAAAAGACTTAAAGTTCAATTTTTTTCTCAAATTCCATGACTATCCCAAGCCATGCAATTTTACATCTAATGAATTGGAGTGATTGTGACCTCCTTGTAATAAAGATAAATGTTTTCTTTGTATACATTCTATAGTTGAGGGAACCTTGGGGTAAGGCCACCGTTCCACTTTGGGAATCCCATCCTCTGGTTCTTCTAGGGGATCTTAGAGGGAGCTAGGTTTAGAGATGTAGGGAGCTCGCTCCCTATAAAATGGGATCTCTGCCTACATGCTTGTAGGATCCCTCCAAGGAGAGGAGCTATACTATTAACTAAACTATTGCTCCTCGGTATTACAGATTTTTTTCTTAAGAATATGTTACACTGTCATGCATATCACATCATGGTAAGCTCGAATTATGGTATTTATGATGTTGTAAATTGTATTATTGTAGTAAATTTGAGTACTATAACTATGGCATTGGTAATAACCTAAGGTGTATGATAATGGATCGAGCGGGCATTGGCTCATCTTAATTTTATCATGTACTATTAATTGATCTTGTTTTATGGAAAGTAGAGCTTAAATCCTTCCAAGTCAAGACCTCGATCCCAGTAACATGGGATCATGCTCCCAGTTATCCTCGGATGTAGCTCATTAATTTGTTGAATGTACGGACGTCGATCCTAACCCCATGGAGCTTCCACCATATGGCATTTCGGCGTCCCCGAACTGATCCCGCTCTTAAACCTGCTCCCTCCTCCAACAACTATGATACAATCCCTTACAAATGAGTCATATTGTATGTCACATTAGCATTTTGTGAACCTGCAATTAGCTGGCCATGATTTCTATAGATCTCTTCCTGTATTTAAATACAAATTCTACCTGCAGACTGTGTTAGTGTGCTTGTAGAAGTAGATCTGGAGGAGTATATGCATTTTGATAGGTAATCTAGAAGAAAATCAAGTGAAGTTCCATTTGAGGAAAACCAATTTCATATGTGTACTTGGGACTACAGCTAAGTTTGTTTAATATTTTTCTTAATTTTTCCGAAAACGTTATTGATTTGCTGGTAATTACTAGCGTGTGGACCAGTTTCGATATTTGACTTTACAGTATGTAGCTGGGTCCCTTACTGAACCAAAAGTTTGTAAAAAATTGTTAGCAGAGAGCAGTTAAACTAGCTAATGGGTTTGGATCTAACTGAACACTACAATTCAGATACCCAACAAACTCACATTTTGCCTCTAAAAGGAGTTTTTCTTTCCAAATTTTGAGGTAGTGAGAAATGAGTTCTGTTCATTACATTTGGATCATTGAAATCTAATTCTTGATTAGGCTAAAGGAATTTAAGAGAGGAAGTCGTTATGGAATTTAAAATAACATTATGAAATTTAAAAGAATACAGATTTAGATAGTTTGCGTGGAAGTAGAACAGTCGATTGTAGTTCTAAGATACTTGCAATCATGGAAAATGTGAAATGGTTGAAATTTTATGAGGGAGTTTTATGATGATTAAACCACTCTTTTAGCATATGTAGCTGAACTGAATTCTTTTGTTGTTCCATATTGCTAGAAATGATTTTTTGTCACTTTGGCAAGATACCTTTTAGCATGCTTTCAAATGTTTGATTTCTTAGTTCCTATTTGTTTTATTTATGAATCAGCTTATTTGCAATCTCTCAGGTGCCAAGGTCCTCTAAGAAGTTGTATGAGGACAATGAGTATGCTCTCTACACTGTAATACTGTTTCGTAAAGTTGCAGACAATTTCAGAATCAGTGCACGTGAGAGGGGATTTCAGGTAGGTTAGGTTTCTTATTTCTGCTTATTCTCGAACTGAGGATGATTCTATATATTAGAAAATAACCTTGACAATCCTCAGAAATGATTCTCCGGGTTTGACTTTTGAGGAATACCAAAATTCCAACTTTACCATCTTTATTATTTGTATATAAATTCTCACATGGCTCAGAATTCTTGGCTGACATTTTTCCAAATGAGAGTTTTATAATAAAAGAGGAAAACGTTTATATAAGGGTGAGGCCCTAAACGATCAAATTAAGGCGCACCTCAAAAATTCACTAGAAGAGGTTGTTTCAATACCCAAAAATCCTCAAAGCAATCATCTCGACCTCAAGATGTATGGACATGAGAAAAAATGGATTTTAAATCCTGGCAATAGTGCTTCTTGTAATGTATTTTTTGGAGCGTCAATTTTCAAGATTTTCAAGTGTTCATAGATCCTTGATCTACACTACCTTTAGAGGTTTAAATTTTTTAATTATAGATGAAAATAAATTTTTAAGCCATCCCAAAAATTTCCAGTACCGCAACATCTTTCGACACCATTTGAAGGTGCGCCATACTTTGATTGTTTAGGGCCTCAGCCTTATACAAATCACACCCAATAAAAAATGATGTAGTTCATCATATTTTACTTCCATTTTGTTCAGAATTTTTATGAAACATTTAGCCCAGTTAGGATAACTGAATCTCCTTTTAATGCTTCATTTTATTTAGATTCGTGATTTCGAATACAGTCCTGAAGCACAAGATAAGCGACAACAGGAATTGGAGAAGTTGCTGCAAGACCAGGAAACAATGAGCCACTCTCTTCTACAATGGTGCTATGCTAGTTACGGGGAGGTAAATTTTCTGCTCCTTACACAATGATGTATAGTTTCATAGATTTTGAGTGCTATCATACCTGATTTGGGTGTATTTGTAGTGATGTCTCTGACAGTGTTCTGGTGATAGAACATTGGACACGGTCGGCCTTGTTGCCTTGTGTTTTTCTTTTCGACATGATATGAATGACCTTGTTGCTTTGTGTTATATTGCAAAGCACGGAATCACCTCCTGCCATGAAATAAATAGTTATTTTCCTTCAATTCAATTTTAGTCCAGATTTCATTTCTTAATGCAATGAGTGTAGTGTATTAACATTTAACTATAACCTCCTTAAGTCTGGTGAAGCACATGGTGGCAACTGGAGATTATATCTTTCCTATAGACAATTTGATGTTAATAAAGAGCCACTTGTTTGTGTTCTGCAAAATGGATTACATATCAAGTTAAACATGTTAAACATATTTTGGAAGAATTTTAGAAGTCTTACATTGCCTGCTTGAAGGATTTTTAATGTTTGGCATGTTTCATGCAGAATGGCAATTTTAGTTCACTGCTATATATATTACATTACAGAGGTTTTATTGCAAGGTGCAATCTTTCATTTGGCATAAAATAATTGTCTCTAATAAGCATGGGCTCACATTAATAAGCAAATGATACTTTGTTAAAAATCTTTTCCAATGTGCATGTGTGCCAAATTATGCAAAGTTTATGGTACTTTGTTAAAAATCATGAGCATTCTGCTATGCGATGCAGGTTTACACTGAATTTACAATGTATCAGATGGCTATCCATTATGAAGACAAACCTATTTTTGCTTTATAAATATATCATAACAACTTTCATAAAAGAAAAAGCAATTGATCAGTACCATGAAACTAAAAGCAAAGATCACAACCCCCAATTCTAGGAATAGACTTTTTTAATGAACTTCGGATTCAATTTGTTGAGATTATTTTTGCTTATTAATGTGTTTTTAGTTTTATTGTATCAACTTATTTTGTGAATCTATTTTTCTTGTCAGGTTTTCAGCTCCTGGATGCATTTCTGTGCAGTTCGTGTCTTTGCAGAGAGCATTCTGAGATATGGCTTGCCTCCATCTTTCTTGGTATCTAGATTCTTTACTAACATGACAATGTTTTTGTCAAATTCATGTCAGAGTCTGCAAGATAACCAGTTCTTGCTTCGGTGTTAATTTCAGGCCGCGGTCTTAGCTCCACCAACCAAGAGTGAGAAGAAAGTTCGTAGTATTTTAGAAGGGCACTGTGGTAGCAGAAACAGGTGAAATTTTTGGTTGGGGCTTCAAATCCCTCGTTCCTGTTTCAGTACTCTCATGCTTTGATTGGACCCATAGGGTGTACTGATACTTGATCATTAGATTTGGCTGAATTACTGAACAATTAGTGGTTACAAATCTTAAAAGTCTATCATAATAAACCATGTGTTGATTGCTTTTTGGAAGACTGGCTATTGAATTATGCCAGTATGGGTTATGGAAGAGGAACAAGGAAAGAATGTTGCCCTGGTTATTTCCTCGGATGACGATTATACAGACACATGAGAAAGCTTGATGCCTCTGACTTTGACTAAACTGATTTCATGTGCTTTACATCCAAAGACAGAAATTTTAGGAGCCATAGGTTTGTTGTGATTTGGATGTAATGATGGAAGAGCATGCTCTGCACCTTCCATGCCTAGAAAAGTATTTAACTATTCATAACTGCATAATTCATGTGAATAAGCATTGGAGATAGTGGAGTGGGAAAGAAGTACCTTGTCACCTATTAGGGGATGCCCATGATGCAAAGAGTTCTCTGCTCAGAGAAGGATGCTTAGAGGAGAGTTAACCTGTAGGAAGCTCTCAATGAATTGCTGCACTTGTTACTTTGTACTTTACTCTACTATCCTCTATTTCAGTGGAAATTTAGAACATATGCTATTAAATGAAGAATTCCATGTTAAAACATTTATGATACCCTTATTAGACGTTAAATGCTACAAGTACATTCTCTTCACCCAGTACGAACACGCAAAGATCTACTCATTGTAAAAGTAAACTAATGACAAGCAGGATTATAATGGTTCTGATGAAGGCTTTTGTACTAGTTTGTTGGAGAGAATGGGATTCCTTGATCGTTCACATTGAGGGATGTTAGAATGGTCTTTTTCCTGTCCTCAGTTTTGTTGGATGAATTGCTAAAATGTTTCTTTGGAAGCTCTCAAGTTTCCTTAGGCTTTCAACAAGTGCACCCACTATTTTCTTTCTGCATTAGTTTAGAAGTAAAAGTGAGGCACCTATGGAGGATTGATTTTTTCATAGAGGGAGAGAGTTTCTGAGAATCTCAATCGTCCTTTATCTTTTTCATCGTGCTAGAAGCCTTATCAGTTGGTTCATGAAGTAATTTGCTTAAGCCTGATTGAAGAAGTCCTCGTTGCTTGGGGAATGCAGATAGTTGCAGATCTTCAGTTTGCAAATCATATCATTGTATTTTGCGATTCTGATGATAAATAGTACGAGGATGATCCTGAGATGCTGCAGGAAAGTGTTTGGATTGAAATCATCATACACAAGTTCTGTCCTTGCATCTGAGGGAAGGCTTCAAGAGTTGAGGATTTCTCCATCAATTTACGTTATAAAGTGGAATAGCCATCTAGCAATTTCTTTGTGTAGCATCGAACCTTGGAAATGCAATCTGCTGATCAATGAATTTGAGCAAGGCTTGCATTGTGGGAGAGTCAATGATGTCCTCGTCTGGTGGAGCTTCATAACTACGCTTTGCTAATACTCCATTCAGCTATTCCCATATTCTATGTACCTGCCTGGTTGGCAGATAAGCGAAAAAAGTTCAAAGTGAGTATAAATATTGGTCAGATACAAGGATCTCTGCATATCTGCATGCCTACTTCTCTGGGCATTGTGACCAGGTTCGCAAGGTTGATCAATAAGGCCTTGTATATATATAGGAACCACCTCTGGTCTACACTGCTCAAGGAAAATATGGTCAGAATGGCGCTGAGGGAATTAGACAGGTGGGTTCTGCAGAGCCATGATTTTGTTGAGCCTTGTCCTTAAAGGAGTTATGTGTCTTCTGACTAGCAGACCTGGTTTGAAAGTCCGATACTAGTGACTTAGAGCAGAGTCTAGAAACCTAAACCAAGTGCTTGCTGGACTCCTTGAAAATTTCGATGGCATCCGCATATCCCTAGGGAATCCATGGTCATGATTGAATTTTAGTAGCCTTGGAAGAATACTTCGGACTTTGCAGGCCCAGCCAACATGTGTTTAAATGACTAAACTGCTAAAATGAGGGCTGTCATGAGGTATGAATTGTCTTAAGGTTCTGTTTGGTTTTTTCCTTTGATCCTTCATTGTAGAGGGTGATTCACTTAATTTGATCAGATGGACCAGGGAATATCTATTTACCCCTGGAGAGCCTTTTTAATGTAATGGGGAATGTTCATAGATTGGGTATGGGTCCCTATCTCAAATTCGGTTTTCTCTGAGAACTCCCATTCTGAGGAGGTTTTAAGAGGGTATGCATCTGTTGATCCAAGAGCTTGTGAAATAGATTAAGGAGAGTTATGAACAGTAGATAAAGATTGGGTTTATTGATCGATTCCGAAGTTCGCTACATATTTTTTAGTTGGCAGATTATCTGTTCCTGCTCCAGTTAGATTCTTGGTTACTATCTTTGGGAGTCCCAGTTAATGAAAGTGATTTGAAGAGCCTTGGTAATTCAATCTCGGATCATCCTCTGATCTTGTTGGACATGATGGAGAATTCTCTCTCTCTATCTATCTCTCTCTCTCTCTCTCCCTCTCTCTCTGACTTCCATTTTTTGAGAATTTGCGGAGTTCAACTTCAGACTGTTTAGGGGGTAGTGCTATTCGGCCTGGGCGCTGCTATTCTGCCTCAGAAACCTTGATTTTAGCGTGAAGAACTTATTCGTTGAAGAGGGATTCCACTACAGTAATAACTTGGGCGAGTCGTAGAGAACCTTGCCCTTGGAAGCTCAAAAAAGTTTTTGATGAGATCTTTTAGTCTTAGCATTATGAGCAGAGTGTTTTGCTACATCTGGAGGGAGTCTCACGAGCTGGTGGACTCCCTTGTGTAAGAAGGAAACCCCAAACCCCTTTAATTATAACAACTTTTTAGGCCTAACTTCATAGACGGATGTGTTAAAGAGTTCTTATTTCAATTTCTTACGCAGCTCGAGTCTTTTATGTGCAGACTTATTTTGTACAGAAGAAAAATACATGCACACACATTTTAAATCAATGAAATCCTGTTAACATTAGAAAAGGAGTCTGTGAGAGTAAATGTCAGGGTTTTCTGGAGTTCTACGAGTGCATCAAAGCTTGAATTAAGGGCCATCCAGATACTGGAGGGAGATGAGCCTTAAGTGAGATACTAACACTTCTTGTTTCTTGCTCCCAGAGATCCAGAAGACTCTAGGCATATCCATTTTCACTCATGCGCGACTACTTATGGTCATGGGCCACATATATGAGCATCATTCATGTACATGTTTTGGGCCGCATATACATCGGAGTTGCTTAGACAGGCAACCATTTGTGTATTGGAAGTTTAGAATAGCTTGAAACCACATTTGGTCTTTCTTGTTTTTCTTTTGCTCGACAGTATCCCACCATTTTTATTGCATATGTACTTGTTGATATCATGTATACCACGTGTTATTATTTGGCTCTAATTATATGCGGATGTGACTGCCAATGGGGTATGATGGACGGTACACATCTGTAATGTCGATTGTTTGTTCCTGACATTGGATGGTGGAGATTAATTGGATGCGGGTGAATATCCATCTTTTATATTGTGGTTCATCTCCACTATCTGTTGTTGGAAATGAGCGGTGGATGTCCCACTGTGTACCACATACTTGCATAACAATTTACTTTTAAATTAGGAAAAAGTTTATATAAGATTGCCACTTTGAAATGTAGAATTAAGGTGCACCTTGAAAAACCCTCTAATTGATCATCTTGACATCGAGATATATGGAGAAAAAAGAAGAAGAAGATTTAGAGTCCCAAAAGAGTGCATCTTGCAACACATTATCTGGATCATCCATTTTTCAATATTTTCATGTGTTTATAAATTTACTTGATTTGAACCATTTTTGGAGTTTATAATTAGAGATGAAAAAATATTATCAGGCCATCCTAAGAAATTTTGACCCCAAAATTACATCTTATGATAAAATTTAGAGGTGCACCATGCTTTGATTGTTTAAGGTTGCAACTTTATGTAAACCACACCCTTTAAATCATCTAATATGAGGTGAGTCATTAAAAAATAAGAACAAGAACAATAATCAGTATCATTATCATTATATATATGTTTATAATATATATATATATATATATAACACCGTGTACTGAAATTTTGGTGTTTGTCAGTGCCCTTTGGAAGTCTGAAGATGAAGGTGGGCTCCTTGGGCTTGTAGGCGAGGCAGATGCATATCCTTATGTCTCCTTCACAATCAATTTGATTTAATCGTTATTTGCATCCTCCATTTCAAAAGCCTAAGTTCGAGGGATCGATCGACTTTGGTATGTAATAAAGAGCTCCAAGAATTTGTGGAACTGTTCATTTAACACTGTAAATTAGCACTGCTTGCCCGATTCTTTTTCTATTATATTATTTTTTTCTGAATTTTTTGTGGCGGCTTATGATAGGGTGTCAGTGCCCGGTTGGACTCTGGAGGTTTAAATCAGAGCCTATCGCTGTGGGTTTTGAAGTATCAATATCTGAAAAATTGGGTAATGTATTTATCTTTGTTGAGGTTTTAATTGATGGATTGTAGTGTTGAGAAACGACTGTAGAAACCAATTGAGTGGCGTCCTTTGTCCATTCTTGATGATAGAATCAATCGTACCCAGATGAATGTTTCATGGGAACTTGTGATTGATCTTCTACCGCACATCATGGGAAACGGATTTTGTATGTTGTTGCACCGTACATCACATATGTGGAGGTCCATCTTAAAAATGGACGTTTGCGAGTCAAAAGGCTAGTGAATCCACTGACTCGCAGAACTTTTCCTTTCTTTCAGTACTCTCTCTTTCTCTAATACTTTGCTTAATAGCAAAAAGCTACATTAAATCGGAAATAACCTCCTTCCAAGGAAATAAACTATATCCAAGGATTTTCTTGAGTTGTACTCTGGAGATCCATTTTAGAATATCACCAAATGAGTATTTTTAGAGTGAGAAATAAAAGGACAAAGTTTTTAGTACCTAATGCACCATCCAGAAAGTAATCATAGAGTGTGATTTCTTTTATCTCAAAAATTTGGTTTAACTTGATAACGCTTTATTGAGGTTTTTGCCGTAGAGAGCAAATCTACATTTCGTACTCGTGGGAACATACAATCTTTTCTATTTCTCTTGTATATTTACTTTGGGCTAGAAGGTCGGTCCAACTGAATTTGGGATATTTGAAACATAGAGAAATATTTTGGAGGACCAAATTTTGGGAATAATGTTATTTTTTGTTTTCTCCACCCCCATTGTTGATCCAGATTGAGATTTATCAATCCTGATCGAGAATTGCCAATTGGGACGAGAGGAATCCCCAGGTTCTAACGTAGGCCTGAGGTCAAATAATCAGACAATCCAACGTTTTTAGTTTTTTAATGTTTTATTATTCCTTTGAATGGAGAGGCATAACCGATCCGATCAGAATTGTGGATCTGGGTCTATATAATAGAGGGCCAATCCAACATCCGATTCCGGCTTTTAGAACACTGCTCCAGTCATGTACGAATGGCTATCCTTAGTTTGGTCCTTTCTTAACGATGACTAACGTTTCTAGCCCAGCTGGTCAAGAAAATGTAGCTACAATGTCTGTGACCTGCCGAATGTTTTTGGCAATGGGATTTGGAGATGGTTCAGCTTAGGTGGTACTTGGAGGCAAACATGAGCCCTCAACCTTTCTCTCAGGAACCAGACCAAAAGACAGTCCAAACTTGGGCCAAACGTAAGAGAAGGAAGTTCCAAATCTTGAAGATTACCTTGGACTGTAGGGACCATACTCGTCAAGTACTTCCCATTTTCTAAAACCAAAATTATTGTGAGAGTTAAATAAAAGCTATTTGTTTAGAGAGCTATTCTCACTGAACTCTCTCTCTCTCTCTCTCTCTATATATATATATATATATATATGTATATGTAATTTTT